CCGCCCTATGGGAGGGGGGGAGGGGGGGGGGGGATCAGCGGGAGTCGTGGAAACCAAACCCAGGGAGACTGACCCCTCCCTGTCCACCCAGAACCATCAGCACCGTACAGCACCAAAGCAGAGGCATGTCTGCCTGACTGACCCAACTCATCTCCCAACTTCCGAGCCTCATGAAGCTCAAACATCACAGATCTGGGCTGATATACCTGAAGCGACAGCCCATCTGCAACTGGCTTTAAATTTGTTTTATCTGCTTATGTGGTTTCTTGAATATTTTAAGGGGGGCCTTTACACCTTGGGTGGACAGGTAGGCAGTGAGCGTCCCAAACAAAAGACTCCACATCCCCATCTACAGGGGGGGGGGGAACTACAGGTAACCACATTAAAAACAGGTGACCCGCAGGTATTTTTGAAGCGAGACAAAAATGTCACTCGCAGTCAAAATGGCTGTCTGATGAACATCGTGTCACGGTGTTAAGCGGGACCGTAAATGAGCTTCAAGACGACAAGCTGCCGCGGTCTTTACTTCTGCTTCACGGCAGTTCAGGTGGTTAAAAATAAAAAATAAAAAAAAAACAGGCACCTAACTTGCCTTCTCCTAGAATATTGCGAGGGAAGTTACCCACGGAATATTCTACAGATCTATAAACTGCGGAAGAGAGCGTGTCGTAGCAAGTTAGGCTTTAACCACCGATAAGCCCCCCGGTAGCCAAGCTCATCATGCTGCTGACGGTAAATAGCCCCCCCCCCCCCAAGGCTCCTCCGGCCCTGAAGCAATTAAAGGTCAGCGTGGTCCCTGATACAAGCAAATCCTCAGGCTAAGAATCTCCTTACCTGTCCAATCAGAACAAAGGCCAGCCAAAACGCAACCCAACATGGAAGGGGTCGGGAATGGTGGAGTCTCTTTCTATCCCCCCCCCACCCCGGCCAAACTTGAACACCGAGCCACAGAACTACAATCAGAACATCACCACCCAACGTAGCTCCGCCCATTCTGCCCACCCTAACCCGGCAACAGGAAGACTCCACACTGCCATTGGCTAATTCCTGCCCTAGTTTTAAAAAGCACTCTGTACTAATAAGGACACAAACACGCACAGCAAAATGGAGATGATAAGCCAGTGCTGAGAGTAAGTCACAAGACTACAGGTGAGCACAGAACCAGCAGACTAATACACTGTCACAAGGTGACACCAAATGTCTAATCTGGCAGTGAGCAGAACATTAAATATCTCTGGAGTCTTCATTACTTAAATTTCCTTCTTGTTTTTTCTTTTTGTTTTTTTACTTAACTGGTCTAGGCGGTAGCAAGGATGATTAATGTGTGTGCTTAAAGGTGCGTAGAAAGGAAAAAAGGAGAAACAGATCAGAAGTCAGATATAGAGAAATGAAAATAAATAAGCTTTATGCAGATGACAAAAGCCTGACATGCATTTGGGAGACCGTGCCGATGGGGCCTAGTGTGCAGCCGTCACACGAGCTGGGGCCGGTCGGAGGGCGTCCAGCGAGCACAGGAGCCAAACGGGCATCGACCCGGCACCAAGCAGCTCGGGGAAGGATATGAGGGCTACAGCACGAAGCCGGGGCGGGGGGGGGGAAAATCAGGCAGCAGTACGATATACCGGAAGCAGAGCTACGACTAAACTGCGTATTGTGTGCTTGAGGCAACTGTGTATCCAGGTCTAAGTCAGGGCACCCAATCAGAACCTGCAGTGACGGATCTCGGGCCTCATTGGCTGTATCGGTAAACATTAACGGCAAGGCGGGTTTCGCGTCAGCAGACTGCGAAACCGAATGCCACCAAACACCCGCTTCGCATAACAGGTAGCAGCAATTCCATAAACTAAGAATATTTATTAAGCTAATAGTCCTGACAACAGCAGGGATGTTTTCTCATGACTTAAACCTCCCCTGGAGACACTGTTGCTTCAAACAGGACAATGTGACTGATTCAGACAAACATTTGTCAAATTACAGATACATGTCTAATTACGTTTTTCTTTTCTTTTTTCTTTTCAGAGAGTTGATAGGCATTCTTGCCTACACATACATGACATACTAGGAGATTAAGGTCATTCTTCACAATGGATGGAGACTAAAACTAATACTCAGTCACTGTCACTCACATATCCTGATAAACACGAAGGACCATGACAATTAATGTACACAAATCACGAAATGAAAATATATGATCCAACTAAAATGACAACTGGACAACCATGAATGAAAACTGGTTTTCTGGAAGGGAAAGGTGTCGTGTGTGTGTGTGTTTTTCCTGATTTACTGATGCAAAGGATCTTTCAAAGAGTGTCGTGCAGCTTTACTCGTTAATTATGATTAAAAACCCCTATAGTGAATGGAAATTACTAAGACAATTACAACTTTACGAAACAAGCAGTCCAGAGATACTGAAAACTGCATATGCTTTTTTTTCTCCATTACAGAACCTTGCCCAGACTCAATAAAACATGGAAGACGAACTGAAAGAGGAAACTAAGGATGTTAAATCATGAGGGATGCTTCTAACGGGCGTGTGAAAGCAAAGGGGTGTTAGTTTAGCGACATACACATAACCAATCAGCTCAGAGAAGGGCTGCCTGTAGAAATCTTCATCCAGCACCCTGGACGGAGAGACGTCCGAAAGGGAAGCGGCGGGCGGGAGAGAAGAGAGAGAGTGGTAAAAAGGAGAAGGAGACATTCAAACCGGCGTGAGCGGGTGTGACGAGGCGAGTCCGCGCGGGGGTTCTGGGAAACGGGCATTTACACAGCTTAAGGTGGGAGGGGCTTCGGATTACAGTACGCTTCCGGTCCTGGGGTGAACCGCTCTGTCAGGGCTGGCTGCGGACCAGAAGCATCCATCTGGCTGAACTGACCGCCAGACGCTCTCCTTTCCATCGCGTGACGAGGTGCCAATTCGTCGCCAAAGAACACCGCGAATGGAACACCTACACTTCAGGGAAGTTCTGGATCTTTTCCCAGAGACGGGTCAAATGTGCAGCTCCTGCATCACGGACGATCGCCTGGGCTGCCCTCGCTACGCTGCCTCTGGCCATTCTTAAACTAACAGTAATAGTTACGTAATTCACAAAATACAATTTACCCGCTTTCCAGAACAATTATAACTCTGCATTGAGGCATGGATATATATATAAATTTAAACTGAAAAGCTGAACTAAGTTTCTAGGTTCCTGGTAATTAAGGCGAATTTAAATATTTAAATTCAAAATACAAAACTGTAGAAGTCATGCAAATAAAACAGGTTATTTTATATAAATGATCTATTCATTGGTATGGGGCGGGCAGTGCTCTAGGGCCTGTGAAGGACACTGTCCTGCTCTAGGGCCTGTGAAGGACACTGTCCTGCTCTAGGGCCTGTGAAGGA